GGCCCAGAGACCAGCTCCAGGTCGCTGTGATGTGGATTCCACAATATCCTACAGAACATATTACAAAAGTATACAGTAGAATTGTGGAAAGGACCTAATGATTAAAAATATGTTCAGTGTTATGATCACTTTCATCTATAGGGTTTGCATATTTGCAAGGCATTGTATCATGCCAGGGGTGTAAAGGGTAGTTGACTGCAAAAAGTTAAAGGATTCCCAAAATACTTTGAAAACCCACTGAATTGTAATAAGCATACAGTATTCAACCGGCTGAAGCAAAGGGCAAGTCACAAAGGCACCCATTTCTCATTCTCACTTGTGAAGTTGCAGAGATCTTTCAATTTTCCATTTATTTTGTGCAAGGGGTATTGTGTAAATTTTAATTCAGCAGTTTTTGTTCGGAGGCAGTTTTGTGCATTTGTTTTTATTGTTTTATTTAATGATAAAATCGAAGGAATCATGTAAATATATATTTTTATTTGCAGTGTTCCATCAGCAAGTTCTTATTGATATTTTAATTATTTACCATTACTGTGCCAGTAGAGAGCGTCAATATCATTTCTACACCAACGTGGTTTTGTTTATCAGGCATATTTCGTGTACGAGTTATCGTGTGGGGTACTGGGTCACTCCTCTTGTAGATCCTGGACAGGCATGTGTCAGCACATTGATCTCTGAGCCTTAAATTTCACATCACCCCCACCTCATCCCACAAATATTAATTAGAGATGAGTGGAGCATCCACAATTTCATCCTGCAGAACAGCCAGCATAAAGACATGTGTTGTGCTGCTAAAAAAGTGAGGTCCCAGGACTTGATCGGTTCAGCACCCTCCTGTCAGGTTGCCATCAGTCACTACAAATGGAGATCTATAGCTACCACACACTCCTGTCCAGACCATCCTACTTGGCCTCTCTATCAATCTTGGGAAGATTGCCAGTGGCACAAAGGTATTATTATCTTGATAGGAATATAGGAGTATATATTGGGTTCTGTGTTTCTTTTTCCTTGATTTGCACCAGGTTTGACATTTAACAAGTAAAATCATTGCAACTCCCTCACTAAAGGGCTGATTTTGAATGTATCACTGTCAATCAGGATCAATTAATCATAAAGATGCCAAAAACATTTAATCCATATCCAAAATATCTATCCCCTTATTAGGGCCCATCAGCTTAATACAGATAGCTCTGACAAGTGAAAACCTACATATTTTACAAGGAATACCTCCAAGCTTATCATATTTTTAAATATGTTGGTTCTATGAATTATGGGTCTGCCTATTAATTAGCTTTAGCCACAGTTCAACACTTAGGAGACAGAATCATCTTACAACTTATAATTCTGATTTTTGCCTATGTCAAATCAATGTTCGCAGCCACAGAAATGTCCTTATTAGAGCTCATCGGCATGACTCATGTAAATTTGACCAGTTAAACACCCACCTACTACTGTATGCACCGTACAAGGAACTCTGAAGTTTTGGAAATTAAAAGTTAAAGAAAAAAAATCAGGCATATTACAAAAACAAGAAGAGATGGAAAGGGATATTTCATTGAGGTTAAAAATAAAATCTTCAATATTAAAACAGCAAAAGTATAATGAATGATGAAGTAAAAAGTATTCTAGACAATAAAAGGGAAAAGTCTGATTTATTACATTGATATTTTATTTAGACATTTTACTACGAATGAAATCAACAACATGCCTTGGGATACTGAAAGAAAGTTCTGTATTAAATATTAATAATACAGAATAGGCAGAGGTGTTCAAGTACTCATATCACTTAAGTTTAACAAACCTCCAGAGTCTTAAGTACCAAATGTACTTAAGGAAACTGATGCTGTTTATAGGCCATTAACAAGTTTTTCAACAGTTGCCCAAGGCGTCTGGAAAATTGCTAATGCAGACTTGTGTTAAAGGGATTCCCCCTACACAAATACATCTTCCATAACCCCCATTGGTTAGCTACAACAATGCAATAGTCAGAATAGAGCTCACCACCACAATCTCCAAACATTGTCTTTCCTTCAGGCTGTCAATGCAAAACATGACTCATGTAAATAAAACATGTTCTCTGGCCCACAGAAAATGGTGATAATGTGAACATTACCATCATCATTCTGATAAGCCATGGGTTAAGTCTTTTAGGAATTTCTCATGCTATAAACACTGCAGATAGATGCAAGACTCAAGTGTTATAACCTTCCAGGTTGTGATCTACTCCTCACAAAGCCAGTATTTTGACTTAACTAGTCTAGTTTGCCAGTTGCTGAAGCAGAACATGTAACGAACAGTTCTTTCCGGACCCTATGCGGATGACACAATCCGACGGAGTGGGGAAACACTAGGGAAACGCCATGCAGGAATACGGGGCAGAAGACAGGGGGGCGTGTCCAAGGTGCGCTGGTGCACGGGGGAGGTGTGGCCGAGGCGAACAATCCGAGAGAGTAGTCCTTAGGGAATATCCAAAACACACGAGTAAGTCCAAAACCAGGAGATCCATCAGAAGAAGGAACTAAAAACACGAAGGCCGGGTCGGAACCGGCGGAGAGGAAACAGGAACGGGAACGGGAACCGAGGTTAAAACCTTAACGGGACCAGAACATCTCATTCTCCTGGCAACTTTCTCAAATTCTGGCCACTTTCAATCAAGTGAATAGCAACCTGGCAATCTTCATTAATCAAGCAGGGACGTCTGGGTAAAACAGACACACAAAATACAGCTGTAAAGAAAAAGCATTATTTTGTATTTGCTGTTCCAGAAAATAAAAGTCCAGTCACAAAATAGATGTTTGTTGAGCTTTGTTCAATCTCTAGCTACACTTTTTCAAATGTCCCTCTAAAGGCTAAGCTGCCTGCTGGCATCCATAAAAGTCACTTTTCCAAAATGCAAAAAAAATCTTTCTCAAAATCTCACATGTGTTTACAGGCTTGTCTGAAAGCCACCTCTTTGCTTCATTCTCCCTTTGGTGCAGCAGATAGCAAAGGCTGGCATCTGTTTAAGGGCCTCTGTTTCCCGGTTCTTATACTGTATGTCATCTACTTGTCTTCCAACAATTGGTCAGGTGAAGGAGGATGGCAGGCCATTCCACATTGTTCTTTGGGGAATGTGGTTCAGACAAGAATCTCCATTTTGTCTCCATCTACTGCTTCTTACAACACATTATGCTGTATACCAAATGATTTATTGTAAACGGTGTTGTCCAATATTGTATATTGTATGTAAGGGTGTGTCAGAATTTTTTCATCTGCATTTTTATTTTTTTTTCCTTTATTAGTTTACTCCTCTTTGTTTTTGATTTACAAACCCCATTACAGCATCCCATGCCTCTTTACTATATCATATGATTTGTAAACAGTGATGAAAATTCATTGTGTGAAAAATCCCTGCAATTTCCCTGCATCTGTAGGTGAACCTTCAGACTTTGGTTTGACAGCTCTATTTTATGCTTGTACCATAAAAGTAGAAGGCTAGTGCAATTACAAGTGTGCGTTCTGAATTAAGATTTAAGCACTGCCTTGCTGATAGTGAGTTGATTAATGAGAAGCCGAATGTGGCAATTTCATTTGATTACTTTAAGTGCTTAAACAAGCCTGAAAGCTAAGTGCGGTAAAAAGCCCCTTTAAATCTAGAAAACTTTTATTGTTGAATTTCCTCACAAAATCAATCCTGAAGGGAAAGTAACATGAGCTTGTTTTCTTTCTTGCATATTTTACTATTTTACGTTTAACACTTCAACTAAGCAACAGTAAAGGACAAGTTCTTCACCACTGTCAATCTGCCAGTTCATGGGCAGTAATGACTCTGGAGAAGAGGATTTCTGTATTTCAGAACAGCAGCTGATTGAAAGTTTACTGGGTTTTAAATTTTCTGTCCATCAAGGATAAAGATTTATACAACCTCCAGTGAAAAGATTTTCATATGGCCTGTGCTAGCTTGCATGGCTGCCCCAGGGATGAAGGAAAATGTCAGGGAAATAAGACATCCAGGGGGGTCTGCAGAACAAAATGAACCATTCCAGTTAGCCTGTGCAGTTTTCAATGAAAGCTGAGTAACTGTAATTGTGTTACATAGCAAACGCCAAAACACCCATCTCCTGCCATGTACTAACAAAATATTTCTCAGCATGGCTTATGGTTGACTGCAAGTTAAGATTTGTTTTTGTTTTTTCCTTTCTTCTTAGTTACAGATCAGAAGTAAAAGCAAGGCAAGATGTGAAGCCAGACATCAGACAGCCCCCATTCACAGACTACAGGCAGCCCCCTGTGGACTACAGGCATCCTCCAGTAGCAGATTACCGACAGCCACCCACTTTAGACTATCGACACCCTCCGCTCCTCGACTACCGCCAGCATTCCCCAGATGCTCGACAGTTTCCAATACCAGACTACAGGCAACCACAGGTAAGGTGGCACTTACAAACTGGGAAGTCACAGATGACTTCAGTAATGCAAGAGGCATGCAATCCATGTTTTAGTACACAAATATAGAAAAAGGCAGTTGAAAGCAAATGTAGAATTTATGGCTTGACAAATGGATGCTTGAACACTCTCATTTGCTGTATGTGAAAGCCTTTCCTATCTAGTGGGGATTACAATCCATAATTATTTTGTAGCCTGATACAACTTAACTGTCTTTAATAGAAGCATAAATAATTAATGGAAATATAGCAAATTTATAAGAAATTAAATGTATAAAGGATATTTGAAGGCCTTTTACAGCATGTTTTAAATAGTGTTAGCCCTTGAGACTCAATTAGTTTTTAAACCGTCTTGGGTCACTGCTGTGGAAGCCTGAAACTGGGCTAGAATTTTAATATGTTGGAGAGAGCCTAACAAGAGCTATCTGTAAACCACCTGCATTTCTGGCAGTCTGGAAAATAGGAAGACAGAATAGTGCACATGAGAAACAAATTATGATTAAAAGCAATAACAATGTATCTTCCTTTTTAAATAACATATTGGCTGCATAGACATTGTGCAATATACTGTAAGTTTTAGATTATAAAACAGTACTTGCAGGTTTCTGTATCACACTTTGTGTTTTTTTAAGGACTTCGACTATTTCACAGTTGAGCTGGAGAAGAGTATGAAAGGCTTTGGATTCAGTATCCGTGGAGGACGAGAGTATAAGATGGACCTGTTTGTGCTCAGACTGGCAGAAGATGGGCCTGCAATACGTAATGGGAGAATGAGGGTGAGAGACAGTCATTTACCATCTTTAATGCATATTTAGCTTTTATTTTCCTGGAGTTTAAGATACTGTCTTATGTTGAGATCTGTACATCTAACAATCCAAAGTTTAGGTGTAAATAGTTTTGAATGGTGACAAAAGAACACAAAAACTACAAATGAGAGGAGGCCATTTGGCATATCTAGCCCATTTAATTATAGCTAACTAGTTCAAGGATCTTATCCAGCCATTTTTATAAAGAATCCAGGGTATCAGCTTAGACAATATAGCTAGGTAATTTGTTCCATACTCCTACAACCTTTGTTATGGCCCCATGCCCCCTGATCTTAGTTATTGATCCACTTTCACATAGTTTCAGTGATTATGACATTGTTGTTTGTATACAGTATGTAACCTAATGCTTGTGTATCTAGAGGGAGCTTTAACTGCTGTCAACTAATGTCAGTTAATGTGTGTTATTTTTAATGCTGGTTATTTTAAAGAAAGTCACTGGTGCAACTGAAAGTTAACGCTTGTTCTGAAGTTGTTGCTTTAATAAAATAGCTCATTGTGTGTGGGATTTATTTTGTGATGTTGGATGTTTTTGGACTTTCGGCTGTCGTGCACTGGTCCCTGCACCAAAGGGGCAATTCAGCATTACTGGTTTTCTGCTTTATGTTTGACATACCTTCCCACGCTAAGATGCAGCCATGCACTTCATGTAATTTCTAGTGTAAATGACACTGTTTCACCTCTCAAAGCAAAATGACAACATAATAACTGAACTTTCACCTTTCAATCCACACTGACAAATTTAATTTTCACTATGTTTAGCACTAAAATAAAATGAATTTACATTTGGAAAAGCCCTCCAGGTTGTGGTTGTCAGAGTACGAAGATGTGGGGTAAACTACGCCTCTCTATCTTCTGGCTTTTCATCTTTCCCATTTTGCCTAGGAGGCAGTACATTTGCTCAGCTTATCTTGGACACAAATCTGTTGATTTCATTGAACCCCAAAGGTTAAAACTTTATACTTAACATTATAGTTCTTGTAGCTCAAGGCACATCTGTCTGATTAATCTTCATGCAGCTCATATTTTAAATACTTTCAAAAGGCAAAGTGCTAATTAACCCCCCCACCGTCACTTTCACACCAATAGAAATGAAGCATTCCACCCCAGGGTCACTGAGATTTAGAGCTCTTTGTTTAAAACATTTGGGAAGTCTATACATTTTTTATTTGTAATTAGCCTGACAGAGGTAATGTAACTTAAAAAGAACCCACTGGCACAGTGAAATAAATAAAACATACTGCCCTACTTCATAACCTAGCAGACTGCTAATAAGATACTGGCATGATTCCATCTACATTCTCAAAAAGATGAGTTATATAGTACTTTATTTTTCATTAAGTATTCTAAAAGAATTGATTGCTTAGTTTGAGTTCTGACCATAATGGAATTTCTTGTTATATTTCCACAAACCCAGAGTTAACAAATTTTAATCTTGAACAGAGTACATCAAAAAAGGATTCAATACAAGTGTTATTCAGTAACCTTAAGTTTACCAAAGAGAACCAAGGTATCATTTGAGTATCAATGATGATACACAGGCCAGCTGACATGAGTACAAATTAGGAAAATGCATTTAGGACTAGGAGGCATTTCATTACACAAAGTGCCATGGGTGCCTAGAACATGTTTATATTTTAAAAAGCCATGTTCCTCAGAACAACAGGGAATTAAATGAGTACAAATCACAAGACCACTCTCTTTTTTCATTTTAATTGGGTGAAGCTACTGTATGAGTTATTAAGCACTTTGCGGCTGTTTAGGAAAAAAAACATTGCCTAGATAAGAGCAGAATGTTAATTGCTTTTTAATCTAAAGTGCTCTCCGTAAATTGGTAAATTCTAATTTGGCAAAAATTAAATTGCCTAAGTTGTTTGTCTAACAGACAAATCATATTCTTACAGTAGGGCTGTATTAGTGGAGAATCCAGTTTAGAAAAGATTCACTGGACTGTATTTACAAGTGCAGTTGTTACTGTAAAAACAAAATAGTTGTTATTATTACTGTTGATCATTCCAGCTGGCTGTTAATAGTAATCTGACAGTGACCTAGGAGCTGTAGAGACCACACATATCTCCTCCCAGACATTTGCACAGACGGTCTCTTTCTTTTGTGTTAGCAATAAGAAGACAAACCTCTTTAGTGTCAGGCATTGGACAGTTACAGCCATGAGTAATAAATTGTGGCTTGCATGCAGTAAACCGAGCATCTACCAACAGACCTTATCCTGGCAATATCCATCCAAATTAATTTTGACTTGCTTTTGGGCTCTCCCTGAGAGAGTATAAAACCCCTTGACTGATCCTGAACTTGGTATTCATTTTCAAGATGAGCATCCCAAGATTCCCCTTAAACCTGTTAATTGAATTATACATTGTCTATGTGGGAGAATTAAAGAAGAATTCTTTGTTTGGTTTGCAGAATAAGCTCCATAGTCATGACAATCACTGATTTAAAGCTAGGTTTAACTACCTTTCTACTCTTACCAAAATATGTCATGTGCAAGCACAAATACCTGGCCGAGAGTTACTTGGATTGGGTAGAATAAAGTTAGTAGTGTTACTATCTACAGTACTTAGTTCACCCATTCCCGTGGCAAATTCAGAGTGAGAAAAGTCACAAAGTTAATAAATTCAATTTTCTGAAATTATTTTAGCAGCTCAAAGAGCATTTACTTTGAATAGAACTGTAGATCTTCAAGAGGCAAAACAAAGTTTATTATTCAAATGTATTGCCTGCTGTCAGGATTTTGGAAATAGGAACTGATTCCTTACTGTTTCCGACACTTATTAGAATCATATCCCTGTGGATGATTTTTAGACCAGGAATCTAGCCCCTTACCAAAATTGATCACAGTTTTCTGGTCTGGCAGTATTCTGGTACACAGTATTCTGGTCTGGCATTTTGATTGTGTTGTATGGTTTTAGAATTAATTTTCTTTCAGTTTATTTGATTATTTTTCACATTACTGTATGTGCGTTTTCTGTTGAATATAACATACTGTAGATATAGAGATCTGCCCTCATGGATGGATATGATTCTTTGCTTTTTTAAATAAGAACAGTGGAAAATTAACCTATTTACTGTACATTTCATATATTGGTTTTCCAAATTCAGAGTATTTATACTAGTTTATTTATTTAAAGTAGCAAAAGTAATAATAATAAAGATGTCTATACATATTGTATACATTTCTGTTGTTTCTTATACAGATATACTTCTTTCAATCAGTAATGTGATATCCACAGTTATTTCTTCTCACTTTTAGTCAAGTCACATTTTTGAAGGGACATGTCTTAAATTAACCTTCCTTCACAAATTTAGACTGTGTGTAGATTATGAAAATAGCATTTATTCTTAGATCTATCGAATAAGTTTTCACAGCTTTACAGACAAAAATCAAGTTGAAAAGACAAGTTACATTTGACTTCTAAACTTAGCAACTGTTAGGTTTTACAGTACATATTGAAGCAAAATATTACACATCAATTTCGGCACAGCTGAACCAGTGCCACAAGATGGTTATTGTACAGCTTTGCATAGTCAATAGCACTGCTTAAAGGATGTGCTCAAAGATTTATGACTACAATTTTGGCACTCTACTTATAAATGTCTTCAGAAAATATCACTTAAACTAAAACAAGTATATCTGTAATCCTAGTTCAGCAGAACCAGCTCAAGCAGTTCAGCATTTTTATTAAATAAAGTTCCTTAAATACCTCCAGGCAGTTTTATAATTACCCCCAATTTTTAATGAGTGGTTTTATTGTAAAACTTGCATGATTTTAATATTAATATTTTCTCTTTATTACTAAAATGTATGATATGGGGCTTTGCATATGGGATTCACTTCTCAATTTTCAGCCTCTGTGATAACTAAGTGCTAAACAGAGAATTGCTATTTTCATTTCAGCAAGGTCAGAGATGGTGTAGTATCAGACTACACAACTCCCTTCTCAATACCAGTGGACTCAGTTCCCAGAGCTTGTGATGAAAAGATATAATTCTGTTTGAAGTGGTAAACAATGCAATTACTGTATGTTGTTGTTAAGTTCAAGTTCAAGCAGAGTTCAGTGAAACCACTGTATTTAACCTGCTTCAGTGACAGTCTCCATTGGATAAAATAAAGAGCTAACAAAATGATATGATGGTTTGAATTTACTGCAACAATTAGAAATTAAAACAGTAATTTGAGGGTGTTATTATGGGTACAAATTAAAAAAAACAATATCAGATTCTAGGTATATGGTATTCAATATTGTTAATACAACAATAAACATACATAACAACCTAAAATAAAATAGTAGTATATGTGTAAGTATATGTGTCAATCTGCTTTGATGTGCATGGCTGATTATTCACTCAATGAAACCAAAGTCATTAACAGCACCATTGTTATAATACATTGACTGTAACACATTGTTTTACATTATAACTATTGTTATTGTGAAACTCTAGAGTTATATATCATACATCTTGGTACATTGCAGCCATGTCCCATATTCTTCTTCTCTAACTGTATTAATTCCAGTTCCAGGTGAAATTCCAATTGTTCACAGTCACAATATTTCTCATGTTGCAGAGAAATTCTTGGGTAGAATTCTATTTGCATATTGACTCAATGTATTCTCGTGCATTTTGAAGTTAATTGCAGTCAACTGATCAATTAGGTTCAGTTAAGAACTCAGCATGAGAAAGTGAGAATGACCAAGGTTTAATTGTCCTAAAATAATCACTGTCAATCATTGGCTACGATGTCTTCAGGTATGGTGAATTTTCCCCACTTTGCTAGTTGGTCAACTTGATGATTGAGAGAAGACTTCCAGCTAGGACACCACCTAGATGAGTCCTCTCTTTGGAGTTGCACAAAAAGAGGCACTGAGTATTGGACAATCCATTAGAGGATTTATCAAGATGGGCCCAATTTACAATTTCGTGGTTTGTGTTAGTCTGGACATGCTGCTTGTCCAATTGGCCCATTTCAGACATATTCCCAAAGACTGGAATGAGGGAGTCTAGGCTGTGCCAGATATATTATCTGTACAAAGTTACAGTTAAATAATAAGCCTTGCTGTTACACAAATAATATTGTCAATATACAGTACATTGACTATAACACTCAGCTTAGGATTTTGGCAAGGAGATAAAATTGAGATACAGTACCTGAGGATGTTCAACGATGAGATGGTTTGCCTCCTGGGGGAGTTCCTTATTGCTAATAAGAAGAGAAGTGGTTGATACCACTTCCTTTTGGTAGTTAGTGGTACGATCCTGAGATAGAGGACTATAGGCAGAAGTGTTGGTAAGTTGTCTGACAGCTTCACTGATATATACAGTAGGTGTTTTTGCTACACGACAAAAACGCCGCCTTTGACTGCTGGTTGGATGGCAATATTGACTCTTATGCGGAGAGATTGCAGCGCCTAAATTTCTCCTTAGGTGACGTAATACCTCTGTTTCCTGGGTGTGGAAAGGATCTTGGGAGCTTGGCTGTTGCATTAATTAATGAAATAATCTACTGATGGGAGAAGGCCGGAAGGGGGGGTCCAACAGTTCTGTTTAGGATTGATGTTGTTAATGCATTGATAACCCGGTTGTTGTCAGATGCCAATGAAGGGGTGTCATCAACAAAATCTGCTTAAAGACAGATCCTGCAGTAAATGTGGTTGAGGTCAACTTGTGTTTGGGGGATGTCCATCGTCTTGGGGATTGGTACAAAAGTGAGGCCTGTGCTAAAAAGCGCTTTCTCATACTTGGAAAGGGAAAGGTCTGAGGGTACACTAACAACTAGATCAGGATTAGAGGAGGTAGTGGATGTGTTAACAATTTTTTCTGTAAAGAGTTTTTTATCCTTATCTGCACTGAGAAACCGGTAAAATTTGGTTTGGTAAAGTTGGTCTGATGCGGTTAGTTATAAAAGTAAGATAATGTTGGTCATGAAATTCCTTTGCTTCTTTAATGTTGTTGTCGGAAAGAGTAATCTGTTGTTTGAGGGAGAACTTTGTAATTATTCAGTCTCATACAATTACACCAACATTAATAAGCTCTCAAGACAACACGCTTGTTTGGAATAAAGATGATTTCACAAGGGTTATAATGTGATCACTGAATGTAAACACACTGGAATTAGACACTTGGCCAGACACAGTCCAGAAGAGAATTTACAAGGTACAGTACTTTCAGCTACATTTGTTCTAGTTGCAGATCAGACAGCACTGGCTGCAGCTGTATATTTAGTTAGCTAAGTTGTCGTGGTTTAAGAGGGAATTGCAACTGTGTCCACAGCAATTCTTACATTAACCCGTCACAGGTGGTGATTGGTCATGACACCATCAGGAGTAGTGGCCTCCCCACAAGACAGGTTTCTGACACTCTGGCTCTTTCAGTTGATTTATGACAGGCGATCTCCATCTTGGGATTCTGTGCAGATACCTGGATGTTTCCCTCTTGATGTTGCAGAATAAGAGTGGATGTGGTCAGTTCATCACTGGAGATATCATAATTGAAAATCTGGTTTGTGTCAAATAACCATCACTTCCTGCTTTTCAGAATCCAAACTGAGCAGTATTCCTGCTAACTCAAAGCAGATAATCAATGCCAGGGTTTTTTCCATTCACTTTAATTTCAACCATAATAATAGCTTAGCCATTATGTGATCATGTAGCCCATCACTTTGGCTTCAATCCTCATTAATAAACTGGATTGTCTCTATCCAAAGTGAGTGTAATCTTTAAACAGGAACATCAGTGAATCCTGCATTTTTGGGTGTGTGTTATAAAAGGTACAGTATGTTATAAAGGTATGCCTTATGCCTTTTTGTATATTTGTTGTTATGCTAAATTTGAATAAACTGTATACTGTTTACTGATGGAAAAAAGAAACGGAACATTTTCCGGAATGAGAATACTACAGTTACTGTTTAGCTTATGTACTTTCACAAAAAGTTGTCCATTTGCTTTAAGCTCTCTGACCAGCAATACAGCTTGTGCAGTGAGGTATTGCAACTTGCCAATAACACGAAAGCTCGTTAGGTACAATTTTACCCAACGAGGTCCAGGTGGAACAATGCCTGATCAGGTCACCTTTATAAAGGCCTTAATTCAAAGCTTAGGTCACTGCAAGAAAAAAGCCACACTTAGTCAGTTTGCTGTGCATTCCATAATGCCTCGAATGTCACCAGGAGCAAGGGAGAGGGCCATTGGCATGCTGCAGGCAGGCATGTCTGTGCCAGTGTTTCCAGACACTTTGGAGTAAGCCCATCCACTGTGCCCCGACTGCAGAGAAGGTTTAAGCAGACCGGCAGGACAACTGACCGTCTAAAATCCGGTCACCCTCAAGTGACCACACGAGAGCAGGACCAACACATAGACTGATCCATCTAAGAGATCGCTTCAGATCTGCCACGCGTACTGCTGCTGAAACTGCCAGCAGACACAATGCCCGCATCAGTGACAGGACAGTGAGGCTCCATGCTGCTGGCCTTAGAGCGAGGTGACCCGTCAGAGGCCCTGTGCTGACACCTCCTAGACATCACATCCGAGTGGCTTGGGCCAGACAGAGGCTGCGATGGACTCGTCAGCATTGGCATCAGGTTCTCTTCACTGAGTCACTCTTCAGCCTGTTCCACGCAGACGGGAGGGCCAGAGTGTGGAGGAGGAGGTGTTTGCTCAGCATTTAATGACATGCGTTTTGTCTTCTGATAGATTTCTTTAGATTTCAAAAATTGATTCCTTTAACTGACTTCTAATATTAATAAAATCTTTGCCATTTATTATAGTAATTAATCCATGACGTTTCAGAATGGTAACACAGCTCTTTAACATGAACTAGTGCGCTGTTCAGTTCCTACTTTTGTTCTCTTACATGAGGTTAAGTGCAAGTTATTACACATTTTCTGGTCATGATGGCAAATCTATAATATACACCCTCTCTTTAGTTAAATAAAATCACCCACTCATACTCTATTCACTGTCTATAAAAGATGTCATTCAGAACTGCTGCATTTAATGCTGTCTCATGAATAGCTAAGTTACACTTTTGAAAAGCAATTACAGCTAATCGCTGTGAGAAATGTGGTCATCATCTTTTGGATTGCACTAAAGAGTTTTGACATTCCTGTCAATAAAATTATGTATTTAAAATGAGAAATAAATATACCCCTGAGCAGCTAACATATGGCATTGTCATGGTTTATATCCTTGACTAAATTTTGGAGACAATATGAATTCTGAGTGGTGATGGGTTTTTCCTCTCTCTTTTCAGTCAGTCCAGCATGAATTGTTATTGATTTACTCCGAGTCCCATTAATTTTTATTTGAGAATTTGGAATCAACAATTACTTTTCTTTTATACCCTGACAATTTGAAACAGCCAGATGTTAATCGTCTTAGTTTATTGCTATGACCCCTGTAATGCATGAAGGGAATGAGGATTCTGCATGCATTTCTTCAGCACTTGCACCTGTCAGAACCATTCTTAATTTGACAAGCTCAACAATGCTTTACAGGAGAATTAGTACCAATTAGAGGAGATCTGCCTCAGTCAGGTTCATAGGGACCCAGAAGGTCCCCGGAGCACAGTACAGCAAGCCAAGGCGGGCATTAGCTGCCTCAAGGTAATATTTTGATTCCGTGGTTCAGCCTGTGTTTCAAGAAAAATCAAATCTTTTTTGGCTGAAAAAACATAAATAGATGTATGTAATACATAGAAACCTGGTATTACGGTAGTAACAAACTGTAGCTAGCTGCTAACCCATGTCATTGCCAGTTCTAAGGCAGCGTTCGAGAAACACCCGAAACTTCTGGGTGAGATCCATGGATCAACCACACTAGCATGATGGGTCAAATGGCCTCCCCTTCTTTGTAACTAAATTGTGTGTGTGTGACTTACTATGTTAATTTAATCAACAGCTTTTGATTTAGTCATAGTCTTCTTAGTCAAGTAAAATGCCTATTAGATATAGTCACAATTTAGTCATGTACTTTTAACTCTGATTGATTTAGAAATTCTGGCAAGTTCTTTTTCATTATAAATGTGTTCAAATAAACAGAATATTATTTAGAAAGATTTGTATTTTGTTTTTACTTTGTTTTAATTACTGTAATTGCAACTGATATAATTGATCTGGAAAGTTAATTAACCAGTGTTACTTGAAAGCATACAAAACTCTAAGTTAAGAGGCCCATGTGTCTGGTCATAGAACACCCTGTATTCTAAACACTTAATGGGGATATAGGCAAATCTTTACACCAAGGGTTGTGGGAATCTGGAACAAACTGAAAATCTGACTTCTTTAAGGGAAAGGCTAGAATAGATAATTAGATCAGTTTGTTACTAGCAAATGATGGAGCTAACTGGAGTGAATGTTTTATGTGATTTAGAACTTCCCTTGAGGGCTGCAGGGTCTTCTGGTTCCGTTATGAAGTCTTCAAATCCTAAACTGACTGAATTACTTGGTTCATTGATTCTTTTTTCTTTCATTCCCTTAATTGTCTCAATCTCTTAAGATGCGGTTTCAGAGAAATTGAATTCACTGTTTTAGAGTATACATGTAACTTTCTTCATTGTAGGTTGGAGATCAAATCATAGAAATCAACGGAGAGAGCACAAGAGACATGACCCACGCCCGAGCTATTGAGCTCATTAAGTCCGGTGGCAGGAGGGTACGGCTGCTTCTCAAGAGGGGGACAGGCCAGGTCCCTGAGTATGGTGGGTTTTCATAATCTCCTGCTGCTTCCTAATGTTCTAGCAGTGAAGACACAGAGCCAGGGAACCTATTAGCTCTGTCGTTATTAACCGCACTCCTGTCAACATACTTACATCACTGTCTGATCTCTTCCTGATCTTTGAAGAGCACTTGAATAACTCTTGGTGTGTCTGAGATTGCTTCGAGTTGCAGCATCATTTTCATATTCAACAGCAAAGGCCGCATCAGGGAGCTTTTCATTTTTAGCCCCCACATACAGTATGACGACTGCCACATATGTAAGTTCTTTATTTGTGACTCAATTAGTTGTCCTTAAGGCTTTCCAAACAAATTGGAGGCATGCTGACAAGGTTTTGTAATGTTATCATTTTGTATTCCAGCAGTCTTCATAATCACAGTAGACTGAAGTGTCCCTAACTGCTCTGTGGAAAACATTAAGGGTTTCAGCATTCTCAAATACAGCATTCCAGAGACAGCATGGGTCCATTTATCCTTGAATGTCTGTACAGGATACACAAATTAGTTATAACATTCAGTATGCATTGCTGTGATGACTTACCTTATAAATAGAGAAGAAATCATGAATTAAAAGAGGTGAGCTTTAAGTTTTAATAGAACCTACTAAAGCATGTTGCTACGTAAACCCCAAAAAGTAAAAATGTCTTCAGAAAAGAAGGCTTTTAGAACAGCCTTTTCCTTATTTTCAGAAACTGCCACACTAGTCTCCTGTTCATGTGTAGTTCTTGAATGACAATACATTTATTATCAGTTTCAAGAGCGTTCCTGAGCACATTTAGTCAGCAGGGATGATCCTGCATTTAAGACTGTTGTATAGCTTGCATTTAAATTATTTTTTAAAATGATGCAGAATATGTAATGGCAAGTAAGCTTATGTCAGTGTGCAGAAGACCATTGTAGAACACCATTGCTCATTTCTACTATACTCATATTAGGATACTATACTCATGTCAAGGATGTTTGTAAATTGAAATCAACTTGAGTATAATACACAAATGAAGTTGACAGAATCAAACATCAGCCACCATTTATTCCCCACAAAAATCAGAATACAGGTGCTGAATTGTTCTGACAAGCAGGTTTAAACATTGATTTAATACTAAACTTACTGAGTGGGAAATTCAATTTTTTGTAATCATTGATATCTTATTGATTTATAGTTTAGTGCGGAGCAGTCATCACAGTCATACTGAGCTCCTATCCAGCATCATTACTGTAGGATGAAGTATTTTATTTTAGTGCAATACCAGACACTGAACAGTAAAAGGACATGTAAATCAGTATGTGTATCCCGACAATATATTTCAGGTACAGACACAATTTCAGGTTGAAGGGATTGAAAATAACAAATTGTGTGCTGCTGAAATGTCTGAAATTCATTCATAATTTAAAGCATTTCCATGGAAGCACTATAATTACAATCACCTGTTACTGGTGGAACCTTATATCTTTGAAGGCAAAAAATATATACTAAGACGTTTTCAATTTAATTTGATTTGCAGAGTCTATAGAGTCCCAAATAACAGTATCAACCGTATTATTTATGTAGTTATCTGTGAAAACACCTTATGTTATACCTCTTCCTCATGAATATGTGTCTTTTGTACCATACAATTTTATGATGAGAAACTCTCTAAAACACAAATATGCAGTATGAGAGAAAAATAAGTGACATTAAAGCATATCCATCCCATATCATATGAAAGCATATGTCCATATCCTTTTTTAGCAGATAAAGTTAGTATTTGCACAGAGTAAATTCAGCTTTAAAGTTCTGCCAAACTACAGAAATAATACAAATTAATTTTACTATTGCAATGAATGTGAGGTATTTTTCTCAGCAACAGGTATTACAACATATATGGCTACACAATGCAGTACAAAATAATTAATACATATTAATTAATTACTTATAATGTATTATTATAGAATAAATATCACATGAAATGTGTATGTCAGCGTGTAGAAATTGTATGTTTGCAGCAAAAATGTCAACATATCTTAAATATATATAACATGTTAATATAATGTCACAAAAAATCATAGTAATCAATTATAATATAGAAAAATTTGAAACAAAGACAGCTATTTTGTGTACACGGTATTGCCCGTATTAGATTCAATGTTTAAAATGGTTTCCACTAGCAGACAAAATAATTCAAGTGCAACAAGTGTGACAAGTCCACAATTCGGTTATTAATGTAACAATGATGTTACGTTTAACCATATAGTTTGCTAATCCAGTAGAAGTACTGTCAAACGAAGACGATGACAGAGAAAACGAAATTAAACAAGCCTCTGCATTACAAGCATTCTAAGATGAATAAGAAAATGAGCTGGTAATCCATGGCTTTGCTGCTTTCAAACAAGTTCTGTTTAATTCAACACGCATAACCTGACATTAGTAAAAATACGGGAACATTGAGGCTTTTAATGTCACACTGACAGAAAAACAGGAGTTAGGTATCTGTCAGATGAGAGGCCAACAAGGGAATAATGGCTTTGTCCTTTTGCCATCATCTCAGCTCATTAATCATTGCTGCATGCCAAGCACCTCAGAACACCTTGTTTACTTAATTAGAGAATCTTTTAGTAATCGTGAGTAAAACAATCTGTCTAATACTAAACACACTGGCATGTTTTTTCACATTAATACTGTAGGGTTTCTTACTATATTTTCAGAACATGTTTCTTATTAACATTTGATGCTGGCAAGAATAACTATAGATTAACAACAGTATAAAACGCATTCTGTCTTAATGTCACTGGTTCTGTTAATTCTAATGATTGGTCCTAGGCTGTTCCTCCCCTTCCTTTAGGAATGGTTCCTTCCAGCCTCTCCATGTGCATGAAAAGTGACAAGCATGGCTCCCCATATTTCTTCCTATTGGGCCACTCTAAAGACACGGTTTGTAAAAACTGCATGCATATTACCATTCTAATTCTCTTCTTTTCTTATCTACTGAAAAGTCTCTTTAACTGTTTGGATTGTGACTTAGCTAACACATTTTCTTTCTTGTGGCACCCTCCGTAGCATTGTTCAGAAAACACTGGCTCTGAATTTGGGTTAGATGACATGAAAAAATGCAAGCGGATTTAGAAAAACAACCTTTTCCACAATCTTTTGTTTGTTTTCTTTTTGGACTGTGGCTGAGGTTTTCCATCATTTCAAAGTGTAAGATGCTGTCATGTGGTTCTTTATTATCTTGAAATCTACCTGAATGTACCAAGGCTCTGTGGAGTATTTCTAAATCTGCTTGTTACCTACAGGACTGGGCTGACTAGTTCTCAGACTGCAGAGATTTCATTATCTAGTCGAACATAATACGACAGAGTTTGCATTGTAGAACTAATCTTTTCTTGGATAACAAAAGATATTTCATTATTAAAAACAGGAAATGCAGAGTTGGAGGTACAGTGCGTGTATGTAGATTAATAAATATGATTTGCTGACATCATTTTCTAGGTGCATTCGGCCTTCCCTTCCTTTGTTCAAGACTTCTATACAAAATGGAGAATGGTTATTACATGTCATTTCTCAAAATGTTATGGGCTTTTCATTGTGAAACTGAAGCACTTGGCATTTGAAGAAGTAAACATTCTTTAAACAAATGGGATAGCAAAACATACAATGTATTCTTGTCATATTGAAGACTTCCCAGTAGATTTAGCAAAATATTATATTTTTCAAATACCAGTTTATATCTAGTCATCTTTTTTTTGTTATGAATTTTCTTTTGTATAAGTGCTTGATGAAACTAAAAAATTCTGTGAGAAACAAAATCTATTCTTACCTATCTGCTTTATGTGATGTGTGTATGAACCATGCATTTTTTCTTGGATGAGACCAGACAATTATTTTTACTGTAATTAATGTTTTTTGTCATTATGCCGGTCAATCAGTTATTAATGTAACTCGTGTGTAATGCTTTTTCAGTAAGAGTCTGGAGTTAATATCACAGTTAGTAAGTCAATAATAATTTACAGAGCATTGCAGGTAGTATATAAATGCTGACAGTCATCATTTTCATTGGAGAAATTGATTCTGGACTTCCTGTCATTGCAATACTTTATACAGAGAGGAGTTAACATAGTAATTTATTCTGTGTTAATCCTCTCAGCATACAGTATATGGTATACATCAAAATAAAAAAAACATTTGTCACGACTTACCAATAATTAGTGACAATTTAAAGGATATTTTTGGAATGGATATTTTTGTTGTTGTTTCATAAAACCATTCACATCATATTCAGGAAAGTAGAATTAAGCAGAGACGATAATGAGTTTGGAGCCATCCTGAGTTCATGGCATTGTGGAAAATGAAGGATGGGTTATGGGATGTGCTTTGGGGCACTACAGTGCAATTCAAGAACTTGTTGCATGAAAGTACCATAATAATTAACAGATAAGTGAGAGACTTTTAAGATGTCAGGCTACTTAGCATTTTATTTGTTTTCCTTTGTTTGTTTTTTTACTGTAATGTGAATTCTGGCTTTATTAATATCATTTCTGTTATGGCATAGTTAATCTCAGACCCTTCCCCCCCCACTTAGAACATACCACAGTCGCCTGTTTCAGTCCCTCAAGAATCTGTCAGGCTATATTGTTTTTCCTTCTCTCCAAAGGACTTCATTCCCCACACTGAGGGAAGCAAAGCCTGAGGAAGCAGGATCAATAGCCTTAAAACCATTTTTCATCATGACTTTTAAGACAGCCTGAGGAGCTCAATATGCATCTCAGGGGAACAGAGGGCCAGGGCTGAGACAGCAAAGAGCTTTGGTGTTCTGATACTCTGTACTTATTCATCTTTTATACTTTCTGAATCATGGTGGAATGGAGCACACTCTGAATTCAAGTAAAAAATGGCAACTGGGAGGTGAAATGAAGCTGTATTCAAATACTGTATGTTAGTTGTATGAAGAGGAAGGGAATTATAATAAATAATTGACTAAAAAGCTTACTCAGTGCTTTCTATGCTTAT